TGGGGAAGTACAAAGGACCATAAGCACTGGGGACTGAGCTAGGGTCCCTGAGAAAGAAACATTTAAGATAGGAGATGATTGTTTAGGCATTGGTGGGTGTCAGGAACAGAACACTCACATGGGGCCTGCAAGCGAGGAAGTCAGTGTTTTTACAGTGTACTGGGACTAGGGAGCGGAGAGGGAATAGGCGGGGCATGGGGAATGAGGCAAGGCCTTTAGGTGGGTTCAGGAATCCATGAAATGAGCTTGTCCTAAGTCAAAGGAGTCCTTGGTGACGTGACTTTCAAGCAGGGTGACATGATGTAGATTTTTTTTTAATTGTTTTTTATTTTATTGTGTACGTGTACCGTCAAATCAGATCTGACTGGTACAGGAGGAGATTTTCCCTCCTTCCCCGGCAGAGCATCTGGTGGATTTGAACTGTGGCCTCTGGGATTGTAGTTGCAGCTCCTTGCCACTAGGCCACCAAAGCTCCCCTTCGATGTAGATTTTTTTTAAAAAAAAAATAATAAAGATCAGTTAATGCAGTCAAAGTAATGACTAAAACCATAACTTACATAAAAAGTCATCTATTGGAACTGATACCATTTAGTTTATTATAGAAATTACAAAGACGTCCTTGAGCAGCATAGAGATGTGTTTACATGTTATTTTGGGGTGCTAGGTATTTGTGGAATTAAAAAAAAGAATCAGGCATTCTGTACTTGTTTTTAAATCTGTGGTGTTCTTCACATTTAACTCATGATAAATTGAAGCAATTTGTAAAAAGGACATGTGAACCTTACCGCTTTTGTGTTCGCTTTTTTATAAAATAAGATGGATTGAAGAGTTATATAGCATCTAAGTAAATAAGACTAGCAATTTTGTTACTATTTAAATGTTTCCAATCCTCTTAAATTGTTGAAAAGTCTACATATTTGAATGAAATGAGCATATTTTTTAAAGAAGAACACGAAGGCTTATAAGTAAAGAATGGAATTTAGGTAAACAAGAGTGAAAGAGGGGGAAGGGTGTGAAGAGGCAAGACATGCTGGTGGCTTTGGCCTGAATGGTGATAATGGAAGTAGAGAGGATTGTGCTGGAGTTACAGGTGCTTAGGGCTAAGCTGGGGATCAGATACAGGCCTGAATCAAATGACTGTATGCATAGAAGGGAACCTCCCAGGTGTCTGACCTGAGAGGATAGTGAGGTACCATTTATAGAGAGGGGAAAAATAATTTTGCCATGTGTATAGAAAGAGTGGGGTTCCCCTTTGAAACAGTGATGGATAAGCTTCCCTGAGGAATGCGCTGGCCCGGCTGTTGTCAGATACCACAGAACAGCTCCAACTCATTGTCGTTCTAAATATAAAAGGAGGAACTATCGCCCAGGCCTGCACCACCCTCACAGCTGTAGATACACCATTGAAGCCGGTGTGCTAACCCATCTCCCTGAGGGGCTTCCTCTTTCATTGGTCCTCTGCCAACTACATTGTCCTTCTCCAGGGACTCGTCCCTCCTGAGAACATACCCAAAATAGATGAGAGAAGGTCTTGCCATCCTCATTTCTGGCCAAACTTTTTCCTGTTTGCCATACAAAGGTAACTCGTGGTGGCTGTGATGCTAACCGCTGTGACACTGATGTGTCAAATATGACAATGATTACCCATGGTGGGCAGTGTTTGGTGGAGCTCCCCGAGTAAAATAAGCTTGGAAGCAGGAGTGGCATCCACTTCTGATATAGTTTGCCTCTGGAAACCCTATGAGCTTGGAGAAAGGATGAAAGTTATACAAGAGTTCAGGTCTTATGTTCATATTATACAAGAGTTCAGGTCTTATGTTCATAGTGTCGCTAGGAGTCATCTGTGACTCGACAGCACTTAAAAACAACAACAATCTTTGTCCAAAACAGAGTTGTTAGTTCTTCTGACTGTATATAGTCAGTGTTTCTTCACCAACACCACCATTCAATTGTGTCAATTCTTTGGTCTTCCTTTTAAGATTTCATTTTATTTGGATCCATAATAAATGTCCAGGGAAACAGCAGCCAAGGAATCAGATGATTTTTTGCAATGAACAAATCTTCTGCAAAAGACCTCTTTTTATGCACGCCCATGTTTGTTGTCGCTTTGTTCACAATAGCAAGGAGTTGGAAACAACCGAAGTGCCCATCAACAAACGAATGGATAGAGAAGCTGTGATATATTCACACAATGGAATACTACACTGCCTTGAAGAACAAGGAACTCATGCAATATTATTCAGAATGGGTGACCCTGGAGGACATTATGCTGAGCAAAGTATCTCAGTCACAGAAGGACAAATACTGCATGGTGCCACTGTTGTAAAACAGGACAGACATCGGGCTTGGGGCGAGATTGAGAAAGATGGATGGGATAAATAATGTATACTGCATTGAAACAGATGAAAGAGAAAACTGTTTAAAAGGGATACATGATTAGGTATTTTTGTCATGATGGGAATCCAGAGCGAAGGCTGCATAGTGGAGTGGACCTGGGGGCAGGGTTTGTAAAACAATGAAAGACTTTTTCTTTTACTTTTCCAAGAGGGGAGTGTACTGGGGTGGGGAGGGTTGGGAGGGGAGAAAAGTGCAACAATGAAAGAATGGAAATCCAAAGTCTCTGTACATTTTCATTGAAATTAATAATAAAAAAATTTTTAAAATAAGACCTCTTTTTAAAAAATAAAAGTAGATAAAGGACTTGTTAAAAAAGCATTTAATAGCTCACTGAGTTATAGAGATGGAAGAAAAGAAGACTTGGACTTGAGCAGATAGAAACAGGCTTCCAAATCACATCTCACAGTCTGTCTAGTAAGAAACCAACAGTTGTCCCATCAGGCATTGGGTGCTAATCTTTGGACCACCTTCACCTCTGCCCCAGAAACTTGATCTTGGAGCAACTCCGAGGTTCCGGCTACCATAAAGAAGGATCCGTACCATCTCTGTCTCTGGATGGTTGGCTTAGCCTGAGCTAAGGATGCCGCTCCAAAAATGAGTTCTTTAAAATCTTAAAACACTCAATGTTCAGCCCAGAGAGATGGTCAATTGCCAGTTCTTATCCTGGACCGAGGACAGAGCAGTGGTTGCTTCTGACCTTATGTCCTGGTAGGTACGTGTGCGCACACATTCGGGTATATGCACGTGTGATTGTATGTATATATGTGTGTGTGTACATATGTGTATGTGCATATGCATGTGGGTACCATGTGTGCAACAGAGCTGACTATACCTGTCACCCTGTCTCGAAAGAGAACTTCAATCCACTAGCCTAAGAGATAGTGTTCTGGTCCCAGATGCCAGTCTAATCCAGGCCATGGTCTTCACAATTACTTGCTATGCATCAGAGAGCTGGACAATGACTAAGGATGACAGAAGAAGAATCGATGCCTTCGCGTTGTGGTGCTGGAGAAGAGTCTTGAACATACCATGGACCACCAAGAAAACAAATAAGTCTGTCTTGGAGAGGATGAAATGAAGCATCTCCTTGAAAGCAAGGATTTTTAATCTCTGTCTCACATACTTTGGACATATGGCCAGGAGAGACCAGTGGAGGACAGCATGCTTGGAAGGGTGGAGGAGAGGAAGACCCAGATGAGATGGATTGATACAGTGACTGGGGCAGTGGGGTTTGGGGTGTCGGAATTAGTGAGACTGGCTCAGGACAGGGCAGGGTTCAGAGCTGCTGTACCTATGGTCGTTATGAGTCACAGGTGACTCAACAGAACATAATAGCAACAACCATGGGTTTGGTCCAGAGAGCAGAGAGGAGTAGAGTCCTGGTATGTCTGTGAGTGTGTTGAAAATAAACAGAACAAAAGTCTCACAAATCCAACAATTTCCACTGAACAATCTAGTGACCTTGGTCTTCTCGGCCTTCAGTTGTGGCACTGATATTACTGTCCCTTTCCAAATCACTCCACCACCGTGAACATAAACTCAATCTTCTCCTCTATCTCATGAACCATGGACCATCTCTGGTTTCTGTGACTTTGATATTGTAGAACCGAGATCATGCCACCTCTGTCCTGGTCTGACTTTACAGGAGCTCATCTTCCTCTCTTCTCTGTTCCAGAGTTAGGCAGATGCTTCCTGGCACGGTAGGGGAGGCGGGGTGGAGAAGGGTGGGGTGTGGGAGAGGGATGCGTGAGGACTGTGAGGCCACGTGTCAGGAAGGGGTCCCTCAGTGGTGGGCGGGATGGAGTGGGAGAGGACCACTGACTCAGAGGAGGAGTGAAAATAAGGGCAAGGGGCTGCTTCCTGTCCAGTGACCTGGGCTCAGAATGAGGCAGGGCCTTGCTGGGACCCCGGATGCGGAGGTGCTGCCCTCCTGCAGGTCTGGCTGTTGACTCGCTCCCTGTAACCTGCCGCTGTGGTCTGGGCTGGATGTCATGGTGATAATTCAACACTTGCTTTTCTTTCTCTGTAGACTTGCTAGTGTCTGACGTTTTAGCCCTCTGTACCCAGAAACTGTTATTTCCCATTGTGGGGTCCTGGACTTCCTTCTGTGTGTTCTGGGGGGGGGGGTCTCTGTGCACTTCCTCTGAGTTCCTGTGGCCCTGCTAGGTCTCCTCTGCCACCTTCCTCCTTTGTGAGCACAACTCTGCTGATGTAGGGGTTCATCAGAGGGAGGAGAGTGTGGGGATGTGGGTGAGCACCAGCTAGGATGCCTGTAGGGGTGGCGTCAGGGAGATAGGCTCCCCAGGAGCCTGGGGGAGAAGCTTGTGGGGACCCAATGAGGAAGAAGTGCTGGAAAGGCCAAGTGTTTGTTCATGCATGTTCAAGCTAATCCTACCACCCCAACACCCAAGAGTCCTGGGCACTGTCAGGGAACCCCACCCCACCCTCAGGAGAGAGCGGGAAGGAGCCCAGTGAAGAAATGCCTTGGGGCGTCCCTGGGACTTCATCAGGTCATCTCTCACTCCCCTGGGTGGGTCAGTTTGGGAGCCCCTCAGACTCTGACCTCTGCTTTGCCTTCCTCACCCACCCCTTTCCTTTCACAGCCGTCTGTACGTCTGGAATCTGCTTCAATGGTGGCCGCTGCCAGCCAGGCTCCACCCAGCTGTGCCTCTGTCCCCAAGGCTTCCGGGGTCCCCGCTGCCAGTATGGTGAGTGAGGCGTGGTCGGGGCACTCAGGGAGAGGGATGCAGACTGTAAGGCCCTGGCTGTGGCACAGTCAAGGGCAGAGAGGGTCAGGGGCTCAGGGGGCCTAGGGGACATGATGAGACTGGGGGACTCAATCGGGTCCAGCGGACAAAGTGTGACATGAGGATGGGGGGTGGGGATATGGCTGGGTCAGGAGACACAGAAGTTGACCATCTGGGCATAGTCTAGATTTGTGGGGGGTGTCCGTGCCTCCCACCCACTTCCTGCAAGCTTGGAGATTGTCAGAAGGAGGGTCACCCTAAAAGGGTCACTATTGCTCTGGATGCTGGGGGTTCCCACTGTCTTTTCTTTTTTAATTTTTATTATTATTATTTTGTGTGTGTACTGTCAAATCGAATCAGACTGTTACAGGAGGAGCTTGTCCCTCCTCCAGCAGAGTATCTGGTGGATTTGAGCTGTGAGCCTCTGGGATTGCAGTGCAGCTTCTTACCACTAGGCCACCAGAGCTCCTCCCACTGTCTTTTAGACAGACACCAGGCACAGGGTGGGACAGGGCTCTTTGGGATCCCCATGCAGCACTGCCCCCTTGATAGAGGCTGTCATTGACCTTGAAGTTGAGAATGGGGCCATCCTGGGATCCTCCACACCAGCTTTAAGCTTTGGGTTGTTCTACAGAAAAAGGGCTGCACGTGGGGGATGGGTAATAGGATTCTAGTGGAGGAAAGTGTGTGGATCTATGAAAAAGGAGTCTGGCCAGTCCTTTGAGAGATGAGGGGGTGTTCACTCCCCTCTCTGTGGGTTCCTTCTCTTCCCAAGTGTTTGCATTGAATGCAGAGTCTAAAGGCCCCTTTGGCGCCAGAACACAGGCCAGCCATCCGGGTGAAATGGGATCCTCTGAGCCGCTTCCGCTGCTTTGAAGTGGCTTCCGTGGGAGCGGTCAGGGCCTTCTTCCCAGGTGGACACCGCCGCTGGGGGACGGGAGGCGTACACTGTCGCTTTCTGTCTGCCCAGCAGGTGGCCAGGAAGTCTGGGAGTCCAGGATGGTTTGCACGTTTGGAAGGAGACCCCCTCCCACTTGCTGCTCTGATGGCTGAACAGAGGGTTCCCAAGGGGACCGACGGGTCTTGTGCACGGTTCTGAGAGGGCGCTGTCTCCCGGACGCTGACTGGTGGTGCTGATGGCTCCCAGCTTTTGCCGTCCGGAGCTCTGCTGAGCTCATCTCCAAGCTTGACTGTCAGGGCAAGTGGCTAGGGGTTCCTCATCCCGATGCTGTCCTGTGATACCTCACCTCCGAGACCAGCCAGGTCTCCTTGTGATTTAGACCAGCACAGGCCATGGAAGGGCTAGGGGGGCCCCCTGAGGGACAGAGGGGTTTGTGGTCAATGAAGCCTGGTGGGATTAGCCGGTCTGTCTGTTCTGTCACAAAGGAACCAACTTTGCCCGACTTCAGCTGCGTCAGAAAGACTGGCCTCGGCGGGGTGGGCTGGTGGCTCCCCAGCGGTGATGTTTGGGGGTTTCAGAGCAGTGCTGTGGCCGCAGGATCAGTAATACAGATGCTGCTGTGGCCACTGTTCCTGGAGAGGGAGGCCGGGAGGGGCCTCAGGAGTGGTGACTGTCCTGGGGAATTACTGGGTGGCATTTGCGCATACCCCAGGCCAGCCTTCTTCCAACCCACCCCGGCCTTGCTTACCACTCGCCTCCTGTCCTGTGGAATCCACCTACCTGGCTTGGTGCTGAGTCGATACCCTTCTCTCCACTTTCTCCCCGCTTCTCTCATTTCCCCTCCTCTCAGGAGACCCTGACACGTCCCTCTTGTGGGGGGAGGTCCATATCTTGTGGGAGGTTGTAGGGTGTTGGTAGTGACATGTGGGCAGAGCCTGGTGCTCTGCAGGGTCCAGGGCAGTGTGTGCAATTGGCCATCCGTCCAGGGTGCCTGGGGCAGGGCGGGGGCTGCGCACACATGCCTTCTCCTGTCTGCTCGGTGCTCTCTGGAGTCATCGGTCCCCACCTAGCTTCCAGCTCCCACTATTTCGTAAAAGCTCAGGATGAAGCCTGGACCCCACTCTGCCTGCATGTACTCACTGAGCCCCCATTTAACCTGCTGCATGGGGGACGACACTGAGGTCAGAGGTCAGGGCTGGTCACATGGTGGGTAGCAGCATGTGTCCTTGACCACACCCCTTGGCTGGTGGGAAGCAGTCAGGGAGGAAGGGCAGGCCCGATTAGGGCCCAGCCTTGACCTTCTTCACAGGGGGTGGTCAAGCCTGTGCCTGGCTCTCTGGGGGAGTGGGCTTCCTGGGAGGGCAGTGTGTCCTGCTGGGCACAGACGTGGCCTGCAGGGAGGGATAGAGACTGACTCCCCTTTGGGAACTGTCTCCTGGGGCAGGGGCTGGGCGCTTGCTTGGCCTCTGACCTCTGGGGACATCTGTGTGTCTCAAGTGCTGGTCCTCCACCTCCACCAGGCGCCGCCCTCTGCCTCCTGGAGGCCCAGCTCGGGCTCTGCAGACCTGAGGCTGAGCACAGCTGGGATTATTTAACCAACCCCCCAATTATAATTGATTCCAGTTTTGAAAATAAAAGTCACATTTTTTTCTGGCTCCCCGAAATCCTTTCATTTGAAGAGTAGGGGAGGGAAAAGGAACTGCTTGTTGATTGTGGAGAACAACGGAGGAGGGGGTGCCCCTAGGAAGCCCCCTGCTGCCCCCACCCTGCCTGCCCAGACCACCAGTCGGGCCTGGGTCTGCCGAGGTGGCTCTGGGGTCCCTCACCCCTCCTCCCCTGCCTCCTGGCTTTGTTCCCTGAGAGCTGTCTGCAGAGTGTTGGAGAAACGCTGAGCACAAAGCGGGCCTGTGTGGGCAGCAGGCAGGAGGTGGAGGGCAGGGCCTGGGGCCAGCCTGAAGCACAACTCTGCTCATCCCACCCCAGGCCCTGGTCCTGGCAGATGAACAAGACCCCAGGATCAGATGCTGTATTTGTCCAGGGTGGACTTCACCATCCTCCTTTGACATGGTTGAGATAGCCCACTTCCCTAGCTGTTCAATTTCAATAAAATTCCACAATGTTCTGTGGAGGTCCGAGAGGCTTAAAGTAGTAGGAAAGGGGTCAGGCAGGCAGGAGAGCTACTGTCAGACTAAGAAGAGCAGTGGCAGCATAAGGACATAGGGATGGTGGCAGCTGAGATAGCCTCTGTCCCTTGTTGTTGGTGTGGCTGCCACCTAGAAAAATTGGCGTGACATATCAATGTGCCTAAGCTTTGAGGAGTTTGCTCCCACCCGGCCCCTACCTCAATGTGTCTAGATTTGGGGCAGACCTCAGGATCATGCCTCTTTGCCTTGCAGGTCAGTACTGTGGAGGAGAAGGGAGTTCTAGGCCCCCCCTCTGCCTCTCACCGAGCCCTGGAGTTCTGTTGAAGCATCTTTTCTATCATCAGATTGGCCAGGACCACATAGTTTTTTCCCCTACATTGTGCCACTGAAGAAACTTGGGCAAAAGGCGCCCTCTTTGGACCCTAAAGCCTGCTGCCTGTCTTTGTTTCTCATGAAGAGTGGTGTTAAATCTTTAAGGGGGAAAAAATAGGGGTGGGGGAACTCACACTTAGGAACAACGTTGTTGGGTACCTTGCACAAGAAAAGAAAATGCAGGCAGTTCTGCACCACCCTCAGAACAATCGCTGCGTCTGAGCTCTTTGCTGGCTGCTGGGTGAGTCCAGCTCTTTCTTGCCGACCCTCCACCAAGCATGATGTTCTTCTCCAAAGACAGCCCCCTCCTGATAACATGTCCAAAGTATGTGAGGCACGGTCTCCCCATGCTCAGTTCTAAGGAACATTGTGTCTGCACTCCTTCCAAGACATATTGGTTCATTTTTTAAATTTTTTTTTTTTTTTTTTTGGCAAGCCATGATATAGTCGCTATTCTCAGCCAACACTATAATGAAACTGCATCAGTTCTCCTCTGGTCCTTCTTAGTCATTGTCTGTGCATGTGAAGTAATGAGTAGCATCGCCTGAGTCACATTTACCTTAGTCTTCAAGGTGACGTCTTTGCACTTTAAACACTTTGAAGAGGTCTTCGGCCGTCGAGTTGCCTCGTGCAGTATGTTGTCTGATTTCTTGCCAGCTGCTTCCAAGGATGTCGATTGGGGCTTCAAGTAAAATGAGATTCTTACCAACGTCAGTCTCTTCTTCATTTATCTTGATTTGTTTATTGGTCCAGCTGTGCATTTGTTTTCTTGGCTTTGAAGTATAACTCGTATTGAAGACTATAGTTCTATCTTCATCATTGTTATTGGGGACCACGGAAGCAGGACAGACTCCTGGCTGACCCTCCATGGGTTTTCAGAGGCAGCAAATTGCAGGGGATGAGATTGATCTTCCTTCTTCTTCAGAGTATCCAGGGGATTCGACCCACATGCCTTTGGGATGGTAGCACTGCTCCTTACCACTAGGCCACCACAGTTCCTTTTAAAAAGAGGGATGTCTGTCTGTGTTTCACTGACTATGCAAAGGCCTTTGACTTTTTTGTGTGGATCACAACAACCTGTGGCTGACTCTAAGAAGAATGGGAATCTCCAAACCCCTGATTGTGCTCATGTGAGAGCTATACTTGAACCAGGAAGCAGTCATAAGAAGAGAGTAAGGAAACACTGCATGGTTCAAAATTGGGGAAAAAGTACGTCATGGATGTGCTCTGTCTCCATACCTTTTCAATTTATATGCAGAATAGAGCATGCAAGAGTTTGGGCTTTATGAGGAAGATTGCAGCATAAGGGTTGGAGGGAGACTTATCAACAACCGATGTTATGCAGATAACACAACCCTGCTTGCTGAACCTGAGTAGCACCTGAGGCATTTGCTGCAGAAGGTCAGGATCGCAGCCTTCAATATGGGTTGAAACTCAACATCAACAAAATAAAGTTTTTCATCACTGGGCTAGCTGTCAGCAAATGATAGCTGGGGAGAAGATTGAGATTGTTAACAACTTCAGCTTGCTTGGTTCCACAATCA